TGCTGTACTGAACATAGCCTATAGTGTCATCTCGTTAATAATCAACTGTAACTTTGAAACTATAATAATCGGGTGTTCTTATCAATCTAGCAGTGGTATTTGGATCAAGATCAAGTAACATTATATAACTCTGTTAGAGGGCTGTTCACCACTTTAGGTTTGTGCTGAACTATTGGTGAAATCTTTCATGTGTGAGGTGGTGCTTGATTCACTAGTTTTGGGTGACCAAGTATCCATCCTTAAAATTTTTAAAGTCAATTTTTGATTATGAATAGTAAATTGCGGCTATGAAAAAAAATTATATATATATATATTTTTTTTTTTTTTTTTTTTTTTAAAAGGAAAATGCATGATTGTAAGAGACAATATGAAACTTAAATGCTATTGCCTTTCAACCGTTTTAATATTTCTTTCAAATGATGCTCCATTTCTTCTTAACTTGGAATACGTGGTGAGTATATATCGTAATTCCTGGTCTGATTTTATTCAGATAGGTGAATGATTCAGTACAGAGAAACTTTAGAACAGGAGTTCTTATTGGTGATCACATCGGCATTCATACAAGCAAATTTCATTGATTATATTGTAAAAGTCCAAATAACACATATAAGTATGGATTTGCGTGGCACCATCTATCGAATGGCTGGAAGAAGAAACAATAATTAGACCGATCGAAGTATTCTTCTTTCTTTAGGATTGGATCTACAATTTGAGTTAGTTTTTCTATCATATTCGGAAAGTTATTCCTCACTTTGGAATGAATCGGACATGGTATAATACGTGACTTCGTTTTAACTATTAAAAGAAATTCACTATTCTCATGTAAAGAAGGATCTGAAGGAGGATCTAAGTTGAACTTTACAACTTTTACAATTACCTTCAATACAATTTTTTATACCTTTTGGTGTTCCATTATATCCAGTTGCAATTACTCTATAATCGTCTTTAACTAATACACATCCAACCTTACGGCTCATACAGTTTGTTCTTGATGCTATCAATTCCGCAAGATACATAAAATAATCCGGTTTCGACAGTCGAAACTTAGATGTTTTCAATGGTTGCAATTTATTCATCTTTTTATTAAGCTCGTCTTTCGATCTCACAGTGAGGTAGGTCATGGTCATTATTGTATCGTTTTCATCATTATCCCACCATTTATCATTTTGATTCATGAAATCTTCGTAATTGTCACTCTTTTCTATTTCAATAAACAAAAAAAAAAAAAAAAGCACAGTGAGGAGCATGGTGAGCTTTAAAAAACACGGTGAGCCTTCATAGATTCCTATTACAAAATAAAAAATAATAAACAATGGCAAAAATTTTTATTATTGCATATATTCACATTTAATAATAAAGAAATAAAAGAATTATTCAGAATAAATACACCATCAGTTTAGATTTCGGTGTTATAATTAAAGACTTTTTTAGATATTATCGGTTCAAGAACTTGATTTCCAAATTCGTACTGTCACGGGCTAAAATGAAGGATCTACAAAATTAGGCACAGCAAACCCGTGATTGAAGCAATAAATCCAAGAAATACTGGTTTATCGGTTGAGGCTTATCGGCCGAATAAAGACAAAACAATAACCAACGCGAAATCCGAA